CAATACTGTACTCGATTATTAATCCCAACATTTTACTCGACTGCTTACTTCACAGCCGCCACTAAGAATATAGTGTAACTTTTCCGCCGACAACTCCTTTTACCGCCTTAATGGAAGCCTTCTGGATTTCCGTTGTGAGCCTTAATTACGGTACAGTTAAAGTTCTTAAGAAGTTTACTTTTATTTAAGAAACTCTGGTTTCTTAGAGCGAGGTGGGCGCCTCAACTTTTGAGAGTTTCGAGTAAAAGCAAAAAAGCTACTTTTGCAAAAAACTCTTAAAAATATGGCAACCAATTCTGACTTTGTTCTCTTCGTCTGAAGAATGTTTTTTTCTGAAGGACATTTTTTTTTTCAGCTCAGTCATATGCTACTGTATTTCAATTTCTGTCCAGATACATTTTTTAAGATCCCTGGTTTACTTAACAGCAGGCGCTGTTTGGTGCTCAAAATAAGTACACAGCACAGACACTATACCGATTTTTTTTTTGGGCTACCTTAAATTTCTTCCAACAGTCGACAACCATTTCTGGTTAATAAAACTAGTTTTCATGCCTTCACCAATGCATGATTGGTACAAGAAGAACATTTACTCATGACGAGGTGTTGCAGCAAAGATGGGGGAAACCTATTCACAGAGCCCTATCCACACAATCTCTGCCCCCTTGGGGTATAATAACCCAGCAACCTGAAAAAAGGCGGCTGTTGAGGAAAATGGCGGAATTACCTTCGGAAGACCTAAAGGCAACACTCGGAATTAATGCCATGTCAATTTCAAGAATTCTTCAAATGAAAATAAATTCTTTGAGACCAAAGAATCTTCGAGGTGGGCGCCTCAACTTTTGAGAGTTTCGAGTAAAAAGCAGAAAAGCGACTTTTGCAAAAAACTCTTAAAAATATGGTAACCAATTCTGACTTAGTTCTCTTCTTCTGAAGAGTGTTTTTTTTTCTGAAGAACAATTCTTTTTCAGCTCAATCATATGCTACTGTATTTTGATTTCTGCCCTGATACATTTTTTAAGATCCCTGGTTTATACTTAACAGCAGGCTGTTCGGTGCTCAAAATAAGTACACAGCACAGACACTATACAGATTTTTTTTTTGGGCTACCTTAAATTTCTTCCAACAGTCGACAACCATTTCTGGTTAATAAAACTAGTTTTCATGCCTTCACGAATACATGATTGGTACAAGAAGAACATTTACTCATGACGAGGTGTTGCAGCAAAGATGGGGGAAACCTATTCACAGAGCCCTATCCACACAATCTCTGCCCCCTTGGGGTATAATAACCCAGCAACCTGAACCCATACAGTATATAACACGACTTGAGAGCTAATTTCCTCCTTCCCCTACCCATAAAACCGTTCTCTTATCTGTTCCTCCAGATAATCGAGCCACCCCTTCCCGGAAAGGGTTTACCGCGGTGAAATTTATATCACGTCGTCAAGGTCCACCTGAAAAACACCGGTTTCTGAGCCACAGGCCAGGGATTCGCAGGAAATGAGCCCCGGCCTTTGTTGCTTGGTGTTCAGGTCGGAATGAAAGGGGGGGTCGATGGACTTTTCCCTTGAGATGCACCTTCAAAAAGACCCTGATGAAGGGGGTCTTCTGCTGCTGGATGCCTCGAAATGAAAACCCGCGGCGGGGTTTTTGAGTAAGTGGTACGAAGGCCCGCGATTATTTCCCCGCTTTTTCGCATTCATTCCGCCATACGGGTTGCTGGATTTTTCGCTGGTGGCTAAAAAACTTGATGATGCACGAAATTTCTTCAGTTTTAGTATGTCTTATCTTCTCTGATAAATATTCGTATTCTGAATCATCTTTTTTCTCTCTAGAAAACTCCTGGGGAATTATCCGACTGGCTGATACATCAGACCTGCTGCGGACACTTAACAGGAAAACGTAAATCAGTCATGAACTCGTTCGCAATAAACAGTTTTTGTTTCTATTTGCGAGAAAAATCAGTAAATGAATGATTATTCAACCAAGGTTTCTAGTTTAGAAATATTCGAGTACCAGTGTAGAAGTCAACATTCAGGAAGGGACGAGGATGCTGTGATAGTGCGAAGTCGTAATTTTGAAGTGTAAATTTGATGCTGAGGTCAGGTCTTTAAACAAGAACAGGGCCAATTGGTATGCAGACAATTGTAATTTTTTATACAATAACGAACCCCCAGGCAAGGGCACCGTTAGCCTGGGGAAGGTTACTACTTACCTAACTTAATTCTCTTCACTGCAAATACTGACCCATATCTACGTACCAGGATCCCCCACCCTCAGAGCTTTAGCGGGATCTTGGACTTATGGATCCGCTTTTTTCATTGAGGGGTGGGTTGGGATTTGATTCATTGGGACAGTGAAGAGAATTAAGTTAGGTAAGTAGTAACCTTCCCCAGGCTAACGGTGCCCTTGCCTGGGGGTTCGTTACTACACCCTAACTAAATTCTCTTCACTGCGAATCTTTAGAATC